TTGAGTGGATTTTTGTGCAAGGTGAAAGGTAGGGGTCTTGCTTCATGCTTCTGCACTTGGAAATCCAGTTTTCCCAGCACCATTTGTTGAATAGACTGTCCTTGCTCCAGGAATTGGTTTTAAATCCTTGATCAAATATAAGTTGGCTGTAGATGTTTGGATTGGTTTCTGGTGTTTCTATTCTGTTATTGGTCCATCCATCTGTTTCTGTACCAGTACCATGCTGTTTTTTTTTTTTCTTTGGACAGGTAGAGTGGACAGTGAGAGAGAGAGAGAAAGGTCTTCCTTTGCCGTTGGTTCACCCTCCAATGGCCGCCGCGGCCGGCGCACTGCGGCTGGCCCACCACGCTGATCTGATGGCAGGAGCCAGGTACTTATCCTGGTCTCCCATGGGGTGCAGGGCCCAAGCACTTGGGCCATCCTCCACTGCACTCCCAGGCCACAGCAGAGAGCTGGCCTGGAAGAAGGGCAACCGGGACAGAATCCGGCGCCCCGATTGGGACTAGAACCCGGTGTGCCGGTGCCGCAGGCAGAGAATTAGCCTAGTGAGCCGCGGCGCCAGCCTACCATGCTGTTTTAATTATAAAAGCCCTGTAGTATGTCCTGAAATCAGGTATTGTGATGCCTCCAGCTTTGTTTTTGTTGTACAAGATTGCTTTAGCTATTTGTGGTCTCCTGTGCCTCCATATGAATTTCAGCATCATTTTTTCCAGATCTGAGAAGAATGTCTTTGGTATTTTGATTGGTATCGCATAGAGTCTATAAATTGCTTTTGGGAGAATGGACATTTTGATGATATTGATTCTTCCAATCCATGAGCATGGAAGATTCTTCCATTTTTTGGTATCCTCTTCTATTTCTTTAAGATTTTGTAATTCTCATCGTAGAGATCTTTGACGTCCTTGGTTAAGTTTATTCCAAGGTATTTGATTGTTTTTCTGGCTATTGTGAATGGGGTTGATCTTAGAAGTTCTTTCTCAGCCATGGCATTGCCTGTGTATATCCTGCTGCTTTGCCAAACTCTTCTATGAGTTCCAATAGTCTCCTAGTAGAGTTCACTGGATCCCCTAAATAAAGAATCATATCATCTGCAAAGAGGGATAGTTTGAGTTCTTCCTTCCCAATTTGTATCCCTTTAATTTCTTTTTCTTGCCTAATGGCTCTGGCTAAAACTTCCAGTACTATATTGAATAGCAGTGGTGAGAGTGGGCATCCCTGTCTGGGACCAGATCTCAGTGGAAATGCTTCCAACTTTTCCTCATTCAATAGGATGCTGGCCGTGGGTTTTTCATAAATTGCTTTGACTGTGTTGAGGAATGTTCCTTCTATACCCAATTTGCTTAGAGTTTTATCATGAAAGGGTGTTGTATTTTATCAAATGCTTTCTCTGCGTCTATTGAGATAATCATATGGTTTTTCTTCCGCAGTCTGTTACTGTGGTGTATCACATTGATTGATTTGCAAACGTTGAACCATCTCTGCATACCTTGGATAAATCATGGGGGGCCTTTTTAAAAAAGAATTATTGTTTATTTATTTGAAAGGCAGAGTTACAGAAAGATGAAAGATAGAGAGAAAAAGATCTTCCATCAGCTGGTTCATTCTCCAAATGGTTGTAATGGCTAGGGCTTGGCCAGGCCAAAGCCAGGAGCCTGAAATTTCTTCCAGGTCTCCCACATAGGTTCAAGGGCCCAAACACTTGGACCACCTTCCACTGCCTTCTCAGGAGTATTAGCAGTGAGCTGTATTGGAAGTAGAGCAACCAGGCCTCGAACCAACATCCATATGGATTCCAGCATCTCAGGCAGAGGCTAACATGCTATGCTATAATGCCAGCCCCTTTGGGGGTCTTTTATAAAACAATATTCAAAAGCAGCATTTCCATTCTGCCTGAGATAACTGATGTTAATTACCAAGGAGAAATTGGGCTGCTGTACCTACAAGAACAGGGAGGACCATGTCTGAAATCCTGGGGATTTTTTGAGATACTACTTAGTATTCCATGTCCATTAAAAAAATTGGTGAAAACTGTAAAAATAACCATGAAATCCAATAAAGATACACTTACTAGGAATAACATTTTCATTCTACCACTACATAAAGATCCTCATCCAGCTGATATTGGACACTGGGAAGGTGTACATGGAGTGGGTACTGAAAAAAGTAATTACAAATGTCACACATGGGCTCCTGATCAACGGCAGGCACAGGAAGAACTTGGGATCAGGGACTAATGGGAGATATTTAGAGAGTGATAGGGATGCTGGTGGTGGTAGGTATTGTTAAGGTTTTCCTGGGGAGCTAAGGAGCTGAAAGTAGATAAATGGAGTGGGAATCTGGATTTGTCATTTAATCACATCCTGAAGGAGAACTGAATATTACTGGGAAGGTTCATCTTTTCTCTTCTTCCTGTGCTTCTTACATATCTGCATATGGTTGGACCATAGATGGCTGATTCTTGTTAAAGGCGGTTTTTCTCTCATGTAGCACCACTGACAGGGAGTTGGGTTGTAGTGAGAAATACTGACACCCAGGGATCAGTGCCCTTTGTGGTGGTACTCAACCCAAGGGCCACAGATGGCTTATTGTTCACAGGACAAAACCTAAATTCTTGCATGGCTAAGATATCTAGAACATTCATAAGCTGGCCCTCCCTGCTTTTATGGCTTCTCCAACCATTCTTCACCTCCCAAAATACTTGCTCCAGCCACACAGGCTACTCTCTATTCTCTAACAGGAAATGGTTAAGCATCTACCCAGGAACTTCCCTTCACCCTTACCTTTTCCCAAAGTAGTCAGGTGACTATAATCAGTCACCACTCTGAAAGCCTTTGTCCTGAATAAGTCCTGCAATTACTTCGTCTTTAATGAGTTACTCTAGGTTCTGGACTCCTCTGGGATGCAGAGCCCCTTAGGCTCAGGCATGGGTAGAACGAGACATGTAAGAAGGGGTGATGCAGACGTAGGTAATGACTACAGAGGCTGTAATGAATGAAGGGCAGCAGGATCTTGGGTCAAAACCCTGGAGTCACCCTCAGACACCCTGAGTAAGTTGGGCAGGAGGGTGAATAAGCTGGTGCCCTAGTGTCCTTCCAACTTAAGGTCTTGGTTTCCCAGCTTGTAATGATGCTTTGTGGGACAGTTCTTCAGTATATCTTTCCTCTTCTCCATCTCTCTGCCTCTCGAGACTGTACTGCCCTGTAGAAATCTTTTTTATTAATGTTGCAGTTATAATTTTTGTTGGTGACAGTGTTCATTAATAATTGTTGTGCAATGCCTTCTCTGTCATATCATTTCAATAGGATGACTGCTCTGTGAGCACCCTTTAATGCAGCTGTTTTAAGCCCTGTCTTTTAGAATCATCTATGTACATTTAAAAATTTTGCACAGGCCTCCCTCAATTTGTAATTCAATATAAATGAAAGGCCTAGTAAAGTAATATTTAATCACTTATAGAGTTTATTTCTCTATTTGGAAGGCAGAGACAGAGAATGCTCCCAGGTGCTGATTCACTCCCTAAATGCTCACAATGACCAAGCCCAAAGCCAGAAGCTGGGACACAAGCCAGGTCTCCCATGTGGGTTACAGGAACCCAATTATTTGAATTATCGTCGCTACTTCCCAGCATCTGCACTGGAAGGAAACTGGAGTCAGGATCTGGACCTAGGAATCAAACCCAGATACTCCTATCAGGGATGTGGGCATCTTAACTCAGGACTTTATGGGAGTGATGATTCTAGCTTGATAGAGTTGTTCTGTCTTTAAGCTGGGGAATGGCAGGCAGCTAACAAATGTTAATGACACCTGGATCATATTCAGGTGCCTTACCCATTGTGGGCTCTGCTGAACTCAAGAGGATCCTCACCTGAATGGAGTTCACTGTATAAGGTGAGGTGACTGGCTGCAAACTAATGATCTAGGGTATTGAGTGTTACAGTGTGAGTACAGGCTGGGGTGAAAGTATAGCATCAGGTCTGGAAACACAAGGAAGGTTTAGCTGAGCAAGTGATATGTAATATATACGAATAAGTACAGGTAAGCCAGGTTAAACGGGAGCAGAGGGGAAAGGGTGCTATGTGGAAGGAAAAGCGAGTTCAAAGGTTTGGAAGTAAGAAATTATGTTTAAGTCCATCATTGTTCTAGAGTGGGACGCAAGAGTCATTGTGGGGGCCGGCGCTGTAGTGCAGCAGGTTAAAGCCCCAGCCTGTGTTATCAGCAGCCCATATGGGCGTCCATTCGAGTCCTGGTTGCCCCACTTCCTATCCAGCTCTCTGTTACAGCCTGGGAAAGTAGCAGAAGATGGCCCAAATGCTTGGGCCCCTGCACTTACATGGGAGACGCAGAAGAAACTCCTGGCTCCTGGCTTCAGATCAGCTCAGCTATGGCCGTTGAGGTCATCTGGGGAGTGAAGCAGTGGATGGAAGACCTTTCTCCCTCTCTCTGGCTCTACCTCCCTCTTAACTGTCTTTAAAATAAAATAAATCTTAAAAAAATAAAAAGAATCATTGTGGAGCCAGATGAGAATATGGAGGTAGGCACAAGTATCACAATGAAACATAATTTGTATCCTTCAAAGGGTCTTTGACTTTAAGAGAAGTGAGCACTCACTGAAATGTTAGTAAGAAAAGAAATGATCAGATTTTCACCTTAGAGTTCCCCCCACTGTATGAATGAAACATTCAAGGAGAAGGGCATTGATCAGGAAGGCAAAGAGATTAATTCAGAGGCTATTTCAACAGTCCAGGGGAGAGAACATGCCATCCTGATCTGGCAGTGTGGTGTTGGTGTAAGAAGTAGAATGAGATGAGAGAGTGGAGGAGGAAGAGGGTGGAAGAGTGAAAGGTGAGATCATGAGTTTCCTTCGAGATCTGTTGTGCTTAACATGCCTGTGACACATCCACAGAAGATAATTATTGAGCAATAGGATTCAGAATTACCTGGATGAGAAAGACATTTAAGTCTGATAGTTAAATGATAACCTAAGACATTGAGTAGATGACTTTTTCATGAGGTATACAATTTCTTGGGATATATAATTCACATAGAATTATAAAAGAATGATGTTTACAAAAAGCCCTGAGGAAAACCAACATATAAGATACTGAAAGGGGTGCTGGCATTGTGGTGTAGCAGGTAAAGCCACTGCCTATAATACTGGTATCTTGCATGGGCACCATATCCAGGTGCTCTACTTCTAATCAAGCTCCCTGTTAGTGGCCTGGGGAAAGCAGTAGAAGATGGTCCAATGTTTGGGCCCCTGTCACCCATGTGGGAGACCCAGAGAAAGCTCTTGGCCCTAACTTTGGTCTGGCTCAGCCCTGACTATTGCAGCCATCTAAGGAATGAACCAGTAATTGGAAAGTCTCTGTCTTCTACCACCCTCTGTAACTCAGACTATCAAATAAATATCTTTTTTAAAAACAAGTACTGACAGAGCAGGAGTGAATTACACTTATCAAGGATGCCCAACCAGGTGGGTAAAAGGAAAACTAACATATTTTATGGCTCAGAAGCAAATAGAAAAGTATGTTTTAGAAATGATGGAATATAGTTAACATGTTAAAGAGATGTGAAGAAAATAGGTTGTTTATAATTATATAGATTCTGTGCTCGCTTCGGCAGCATGTATAATTATATAGATTCTAATTACAGAAATTTGAAATTTAGAAATTACTTTCATTGTGACGAGACTGAAAGGAAACATCTTTTCAGATAATGTATCATAGTAATATAATCAATGTAAGTTCAAGTTTTGTTGGACATGGTTATTTCCTCTTAAAGGTACTAGCAACAAACATGATAGGAAACCAAACCACTGTGTCAGAGTTCCTCCTCCTGGGCCTGCCCATCCAGCCACAGCACAAAAACCTCTTCTACGTCCTGTTCCTGGCCATGTACCTGACCACAGTCATAGGGAACCTCCTCATCATCATCCTCATTCGACTGGACTCCCATCTCCACACGCCCATGTATTTGTTTCTCAGCAACTTGTCCCTCTCTGACCTCTGCTTCTCCTCTGTCACAATGCCCAAATTGCTGCAGATCATGCAGAGCCAAGTCCCATCCATCTCGTACTCCGGCTGCCTGGCCCAAATATACTTCTTCCTGTTTTTTGGAGACCTGGAGAACTTCCTCCTTGTGGTCATGGCCTACGACCGCTATGTGGCCATCTGCTTCCCCCTGCACTACACCAGCATCATGAGCCCCAAGCTCTGCTTCTGCCTGGTGGTGCTGTCCTGGGTGCTGACCACGTTCCATGCCCTGCTGCACACCCTGCTGATGGCCAGGCTGTCTTTCTGTGCAGACAACAGGATCCCCCACTTTTTCTGTGATATGTCTGCTCTTCTGAAGTTGGCCTGCTCTGATACCCATGTCAATGAATTGGTGATATTTGTCATGGGAAGCACATTTCTTGTCATCCCCTTCCTACTCATCACCATGTCCTATGTAAGGATTGTGTCTTCCATTATCAAGGTTCCTTCTGCACGGGGCATCCATAAGGCCTTCTTCACCTGTGGCTCCCACCTGTCTGTGGTGTCATTGTTCTATGGGACAGTTATTGGTCTCTACCTAATCCCATCAGCCAATAATTCTACTGTGAAAGAGACTGTCATGGCTATGATGTATACTGTGGTGACTCCCATGCTGAACCCCTTCATCTACAGCCTGAGGAACCAAGACATAAAGGGAGCCCTGGGAAGAATTGACTGTGGAAAGAAGACTCTCTTCTCTCTAGGATGGTAACAAGTATTTTTACACAATTTTATCCTTTACGTATACTTAATTGATGCTGAAATATTATTCCAAGTTTTTACTGTACCAAGGAACCTCTGTTAAAATGGTGTACTACAATATGCCTGTCCTGTAGTTCAAAAGAGAGTCTGACCTTGGAGACATGGCCATACTTCCTCTGACCTCCCCAGATGACCTTGGAGAGGCATAGTTTAAGAACCACTACTTTAAATAACTCCATGAATACATATATAAACAATAAAATGATTACTAGTCTATGTTTA